TTCTTCCATCCTGCTAGCTCATAGCCGAGACTGCCGCCCCCCCCCCCCCCCGTCGCCGCCGCCAGTGAAGAGGAACACCACCTCTTACACTTTTTTTAAAACCCTACACCCCAATCGATGTTAGCGATGATGCCTGAAGAACCTAAACCCAAGCCCGACCCTACACCTCCCACTCCCATCTATGTCGACGAGGATGGGCATAATCTTGATGCTGCTGGCGCCATTGTCCTTGGGCCTACTGTTCCCCTCCGCCAGGACGGGCCTGATCCGCGCGTTCGCGACCCCACCCCTTTCCCCGACCACGACATCCCTCCCCACAAGCTGGCTGGTGGCACTCCCCGTGCCCCACCCTCCGACAACGTATCTACCCGGTCTGCTTTTGACTCTCACGACTTGCCCTGTACAGGAATTTTCGACACATGTCGGCGTCGGTAATATGGCTGAGACAGTCACTAAGGACCATCTGGCATTCCCCGGCTTTCTCCTCGAACCTCTGCCAAGCTCCCAACGAGGTGCCGTCACACTTCAAACCCTCGAACTCTCGCCTCATATCCGCCTCCCAATCCTCCGACAGCGCCTTCTTCTTGAACTCGCGGCGCCAATGGTCCCAGGAAGTACAGGCAGCACCAGTAGCCATAGACCAGTACTGGTAGGAAACGATGTTGGCTATGGATCGATTCGCTTGGGTGACTTGCCAACGAGAGGAAGTTCGATCACCGTTGGGGAAGCGAGAGGCATAATCGTCGAAGTAGCGATCAAGATCCTGAAGGTGGGAGACAACACCGAGGGGAGAAGCGCTGGGAGAAGAGAGGATGGGAAGTTTAGGAGGGTCAAGTTGACCGCGCTGCAGGTCGCGCTGAAGGTCGGCATGCTGGGCCTGCATTGTCTGGAGGACAACTCGCAAGTCGTGCGAGTCGAAAGCAGACCGGGTAGATGCATCCTCGGAGGGTGGGGCACGAGGAGTACGGCCAGCCAGCTCGTGGGGAGGGCTGTCGTGATTGGGGAA